TGGGAACTCCTCCTCGATTCCCTAATCCCATATTTTTTTTAAGGGAGAGGGGGGTGGGCACCAGCTGGGGTGGAGGGGGATGAGGGGGCACCACCATCTCTAGCCCCACCCAGAGCACCCCAAAACCCCCAAGACACCCTAAACCCCCCCCCATCACCCCAAATCCAGGGGGGTGACACCCCCAGGCCATGGGAACTCCTCCTTGATTTCCCAATCCAGCCTTTTTTATTCCCAGGAGCAGGGGGTGGGCACCAGTTTGGGGGGGGGTTGGGGGAGAGCCACGTGTGAGGCTGGGGGGGCTCCATCCCACTCGGCTGCTTTCAGCAGATCCATAAATTCTCCTTTGCCGGGCGCATCCCTAATTCCCCAATTCCCCGCCTGCTAATTCCCTCCATATCCCAAAAACCGCGGATATATTTGTGCACATCCCTTCCCGAACCCCGGGCAGAGGGGGAAGGGCAAATCCATCACCGGGAGCCAAAAATAGGTCTCAGAGCAGGGGGAGGAATCAAAAAAATTCGGGATTGGTGAGCCAGGGAACGGCTGCAGCGGGAGCAGCTGCGGCAGCGCTGGGAATGCCGAGCACTGGGAATGGGCACCTCTGGCTGCTCTGGGAACGAGCAGGAGGCTGGGGGGGAAGGGTTGGTGGCCCCCGGTGGCCCAGTGGCCCTGACACTCCCCATTCCAGCTGTATCCCACCCCCATTCCAGCTGTATCTCACCTCTTATTCCAGCTGTATCCCACCCCCATTCCAGCTGTATCTCACCTCTTATTCCAGCTGTATCCCACCCCCATTCCAGCTGTATCTCACCTCCTATTCCAACTGTATCCCACTCCAATTCCAGCTGTATTCCATCTCCCATTCCAGTTGTATTCCACCTCTCACTCCAGCTGTATCCCACCCCCATTCCAGCTGTATCCCACTCCCCATTCCAGCTGTATCCCACCCCCATTCCAGTTGCATTCCACTTCCTATTTCAGTTGTATCCCACCCCCATTCCAGCTGTATCCCACTCCTCATTCCAACTGTATTCCACCTCCCATTCCAGTCGTATCCCACTCTCCATTCCAGCTGTATTCCACCTCCCATTCCAGCTGTAACCTGCTCCCCATCCCAGTCACATCCCACTCCCTATCCCAGCTGCATCCTGGAAAAGGGTGTAGAAAAGTGTCCCCCTGTCCCCCTTCCTGCGCCACTGGAGAGGCTGGATGCTCTGGAGATGTCCCAGTATTCCCAGCATTCCCACACACAAAATTCTGCTGCTTCCGAGCACCAAAACACCCTCCTCAAGCTGGAAATCGTAGGAAAACCCGGAATTCTTCCCAGGTTTAGAGCTTTTAAGGTTCAGAATTCCCACTGAGACTGATCCTGGCACCCTGGGAAGTGTTCTGGGAGCACTGGGGTGGAACCAGACCCCTTCCCACTGCTGGAAGGAGGGCAAGGAAGAGGGAAACAGGGATAACAGCTTGAAGGAATTCCAGCCTGTGGATTCCATATCCCCCCCTGCTCCTCACCCGGGCCCAGGGAGCGGGATGCACCCCCCATTCCCACCTCAAAGCAAAGCTCTGGAAGCAGAGCCAGAGCCAGGGGGCAGAGGGAAGGTGGATCCCCCATCAATCCCAGATCAAAACCCGGGATTATGGTGGGAAAAAACCTCCTTAGGCCAAAAGATTCCAATTAAAGCAAAAAAATGGCAATTTTGAAGCTTCTCCCAGAACTCCTTTCCCGGTTTTTCTACCCAGCATCTCACAGGAAGTTCCCAAGGGGTGTTTTCCCACACCGCAGCCCCTGCCAGTACCCGGCATGGATTGGGATCGGGATCTGCAGTGCCAAACCTACTCCCTTCCCAAAATTCACCATTTGGGCCAAATCAGCCCCAAACTGCAGCACCTGGCCCTGCTCCTCAGGGAAGGAATCTGCCCCATCCTGCCTGGAATTACACTGGGAGTTATAGTTCAGGGCATTCCCAAAATTTGGGTTTGATGATTTTTAGGGGCTTTTTCTTCCAAGGATTTGTGGGATTCGCATTGCGGCAGCTTCGGTGCAGAGCTGTGGGATGCTGTGGGATGCTGAGGGATGCTATGGAATGCTATGGAATTCTGTGGGATGCTGTCCCAGCAGCTGATCAGGCCAGAAACATCGAGAAGTTGGAAGGGAGAAGTGGGATGGAGGGATACGGGGACCCAGCAGGAATACAGTCAGGGATCCAGGCAGGAATATGAGCAGGGATAC